AGGGCGCAACACTGAGGGTTGCGATCCCGTTGCCGGTCCCTAGTACGGGCGCGACACTGAGGGTTGCGATCCCGTTGCCGGTCAGTAAAAAAGACAAAAAGGAAAAAAAAAAAAAAAAACTTAAATTTATGAAACTTCTAAAGTATAAAGAAGTTTGTGCTTTATTAAGCTTTGTTTATCATTTTTATGCTTTCAATGGGACACATAAGTTGTAATTTACAGTTATTAAAAGTGAATATGTTCTCATTTACATAGCTCTTGGATGAAGACGTTCTTCTTGAAGAGAGTTAGGATTCTCTTCTTCCAGCGGCAGGTCTCCATCACCCCATGGCTTGGGAAGCTCTGGGCTGGATATCTTCAATTTATTAATGGAAATCTCTGACAAAGTTGGGGTAAGAGCTGCTGCCGGAGGAGGGGTAGTAACAGGGGTGACTGTTGGAGTATTAACAAGCACGATGGGAGGCATATCATTTCCTAAAAATTTTTTTAAAAAAGAATGAAAAAGATAAAAGTCAGTAAACAACATCATAGGAAGGCAAGTTATGTTGCTTCAGACATCCTTTAACATTTTGGCATACAAATAATGGCAATAATAATTAATAATAATAATGATGATGATGGTGGTGGCCATTAATAGAAAAATTCCTAATTAATTTAGTAAAGTATAAGAAAATAACCTTGAAAAGATTTTACTTTTAATACATAAAGTAGTTTAAGCATCTATGAGATTACACACTTTAAGACGTGGCAATCAATTCCTTAGTTTCCTTGCAGGAAAAATTGATTAACTAAAACCTAGTAAGCAGACAAACGTGTGTGCGTGTGTGTGTGTGTGTGTGTGTGTGTGTGTGTGTGTATCTCTTTTTTTTTACAAATATATTTATATTAATTTATAAAGCATCTTATAAAAAATCATGGAATTTTATTTAATAGTTGTTAAAATTAGAACTAAGTTACAGAAATAAGTCTCTACCTTTTTCAGCAACTATTTCTTTCACAGGAAAAGCCACATCGTGATATGAATCACAGGGAGAAGAATCTGGAGTTTTTACCAACACACATTCCTTAGGAGGTGATGAAGGTGAGCAAGGAGGAGTAGGCTGTGGGGTAGCCATGGGGGTACACACTCTTGCCTAAAATAAATTAATAAAACAAGATAAATGGTGCTTATAATCACCCAAATAAAAGTAATTTGAAACAATGATATGAGCTCATTCATACATGGCATATAATTTAAATGAACAGGTGGGAAAAAGAGAACCTTAAGTTCGCTGGCTCTTGAACTCCTGAACTGTTAATCTAAGATTGGCCTGCAGAAAGCCTCAGGCAATTGAAATCATTCTGCCTCTGAATAGGTCCCAAAGAAATCTAAGGCACCCTCTTTTAATGTATAGAGGAAGATTAAACAGATGCAGCTAAAGATCAAATCCAGCTACAAACTTGATGGGATAGGCTACGCAATAGAAAAGAAGCAGTATGATTGATTGACAAGACATCAAAAAAAAAAAAAATTCAGCCTTTTAGCACAAAAGAACAGAGCATATAAAAAATAAGGAAAGGATAAGAAAAAGTGAGGTGAAGGGTAGGAAAAGATGAACACAATAAATAGGGAGATGGAAAGTACTGTGGAAGGAAAAAGTGAATGTTTCAATGTTAATTTGTTGAATAGGTAACCATTCAAATGGTTCAAAATTCAAAAGGTACAAAAGGATGATAGTGAACATTAAGTCTCTCCTTCTATCCATGTTCTTTCTTCCTAGTTCCCTTCCTTGGAGTTAAATAAATCTTGACTTAAGTCATTTTTATGTATGTATACTTATTTAGGGAATAAATTCCCAAAAGTGGGACTGCTCAGTTAAAGAACTATTTATGTTTTTAATTTGAATAGATATTGCCAAATATCTCTCTACTGTACTATTTTACACTACCACCAGAAGGTATGAGAATGCCCATTTCTGCAATGTTTATTAAACCACAGTATTATTAAACTTTTAGAGTTTTGCCAATCTAATCAGTAAAAATAGAATTTCAGTAAATTTTTTTCTTATTATCAGTGAGGCTGACCATCTTTTTACATATATATGGGTGATTTGTATTTGTTTCATGTGTGTGAACTGTCTGGTCACATTCTTTGCCCGTTTTAAAAACATATTATTTGTCTTTTTCTTCTCACTCTAAAAAGTTTATATATTAGGGTGACTAGCCTTATTCTGTGTTATGAGTTGCAAATTAATATGCAATTTAAAACCATGAGGCATATTAGAAATTCTAAAGCATCGCTTAATAATTAGCATATTCTTAACCTTCATTTTAAAATGAAATAAATATACTACCGTTTTTTCTTCTTGACTGCATAAACCTTTAGCATAGAAGCATTGTTTTCAAATATAATGTTACTGGTTGATCATCATGAGAGGATTTAAAGGTATTCTTCTAGTATGGATAATGGATAATTATGATGATAAACTATTAGTTACTGAGTATTTTCCAAGTTCTAGGCACTAAATTAAGCTCTTATCATATATCATTTCATTTAATGTTCCACAAAATCTTATATGATGGTTAAGACACAGTGTCATAAAGACGTCAACCCTTCCCAAATTAAACCAATCAAAATGGGATTAATTCCAATAAAAATCTGAACAAGATTTCTTTATGAAACTTAAAAACTAATTTTGAATTATATTTGGAAGATCAGTGTCTCCTTTCTCTGCATCCTCACCAACATTTGTTACTTTGTCTTGTTGACATTCTAACTAGGGTAAGATGATATCTCATTGTGGCTTTAATTTACATTTCCCTGATGTTTAGTGATATTGAGCATTTTTCTATGTGCTTGTTGGCCATTTATATATCTTGTTTTGAGAAGTATCTGTTCAGGTCCTTTGCTCATTTTTTTAATTTGATTATTTGGTTTTTTTCTGTTGTGGTGTTTGAGTTCCTTACATATTCTGGCTATCAGTCACTTGTCTGATGGAAACTATCTGTTCAGGTCCTTTGCTCATTTTTTTAATTTGATTATTTGGTTTTCTTCTGTTGTGGTGTTTGAGTTCCTTACATATTCTGGCTATCAGTCACTTGTCTGATGGAAACACTTTCCCTTGCAAACACTTTCTCCCATTTTGTAGGTTGCTTCGTCACTTTGCTGATAGTGTCCCTTGCTATGCAGAAGCTTTTCAGTTTGATAGTCCCATTTATGTACTTTTGCTTTAGTTGTCTCTGCCTTTGCAGTCTTGCTCAATAAAGCAGTGTGTTATATTCTATATTACTAACATATAAATGTTAAATTTGGAAGGTATGATATGGTACTTTGATTACATAAGAAAGTATCTTTTGTTAGGAGATACTGCTGATACTTCTGAGGTAAAGTACTATGATGTCTGTAACTTTCAAATAGTTTTTAAAGGATATATAACATATGGCACATATAAAGACAGATTTTGAAAATGTGTATACAGCTGTTCATTGAATCATATTTTTAACTTTTCTATAAATTTTAAAGTTTTTAAAATAAAATGGGAGAAATGTTACTTTTATCATAGCAACAAGAAATAAAATTCTATCACAAACCATGATCTTATGACATGCAGTTTAAAATTTATCTATGTCACTGTTCTTTAATAAATGTATCAGAAATTCCCCAGAACTCTAAGTCATGAAAGGAGAGTCACTCCTACCGGCAAGTGTGTTTCATTTGTTGAAACATCCACAGAAACAATGGTAGCAACAGGATCTGACTTCTTTGCTTCTCTGTCACCCAGCATGACAGCAATGGTCTCAGCAAGAGCTTCATTCACAAAATGGCTAATCAAGTCTGAATTCACAGGAACCCCAGCATCAACAAAAAGCTGGAGGGCACCACCGCTTGTTCCTTCCACTAAAAAATAAAAGAACTTCAGAATAAGTGCGCAAGAAACATGCTTGCAATCCAAACTTTAATTCTTAAAATTTTAGAGATTCCAATATATATGTATATGGGGGTGGGAGGAGGAATAAAACTCAAACATATCTACTTATTATAAAAGAGACTAAGATGAGAACTTATATAATGAACATTCTCTCTAGGCAAACCAAAATGGGGAGGAAAACACACAGATGAAAATTTAGTTATATGTCCTCTTCCCTATCACTACATAATTAACATATCTACTTATTATAAAAGAGACTAAGATGAGAACTTATATAATGAACATTCTCTCTAGGCAAACCAAAAGGGGGAGGAAAACACACAGATGAAAATTTAGTTATATGTCCTCTTCCCTATCACTACATAATTTAGTGATAAAAAGGACTTGCATCCACATTAAATGTCCTCATCTGAAAACAATCCACATTTCCAAAAGTAGGGCAACAGGAAACCCTGTGATATATCTTGACCAAAACACAAGGATGCAATAAGTATGAAGGCAAACTTTCCTTCCTCCTAGTTTCACATACATCAGTTATTAATATTACAGGGTATTCCTCCTCAAAACTCCACAGCAGTTCAGGTGCTTGTTATCAGACACTCTACAGGTAGGCAACGATGGCAGAAATATCCAGAATTCCCTAAAAAGTGGGTACCAGTGTCTTGGGGTCACTTGTTGAGGGGTAAGTAATAGCAAATTACTCTGGAGTGACCGTAACAGAGATTATCGAAATCCCAAATTTACATTTGACAATATATGTCAATAAATCTCCTTTTTAGTTTCCATAATTCATTGCTTTGGCATGACCAAAAATCAGAACTTCTCTCCTATGAAGTCCAAAAGTTCTATCCAGACATTGGCAAAACAGAAGCAAATACACATGTTTTGACAGAGAACAGAATAGGACCTAAATATCCGATTTGGAAATTTTAAGATTCTCATCTGGGAAAACACCAATTTTCCTGTAACTTTGTTGGTCATTTTTTCCTCCCTTCAAAAAATGAGATGAAAAAAGACCTGGGTGGTAGCAAGGGAAGGAAGCATAAGAGCTATACTAAATAGGAAGAATTAACCAAATAAAACAATAAACTATATGGAGCTAGTTGTAGGCTGTAGCTGAGTAGGGACTGAAGAAGAGCAAAGAAAAGAAAATAGAACAAAGAAAACCTCCAAGGCTTTGGAGATTGGGTGCTGTGAAAATTGTGATATCATTAACAGAAATAGAGAACAAAGGAAGAGCACCAGGATGGGCAGAAAAATTAGATATATTTTGGACATGCTAAGTTTGGGACTCCAGTGGAGCATCAAGTAGAATATTCACTAACAGGCAGAACTTACTCAAAGTGCAGCCTAGATGCATGCCTTAGGGGTCATCAACTGACACAATATAACTAATGGAAAGAGGAAATGGGAAAAACAGAAAAGAGGTTAGGGCATAGAAACTTGGGAAATAGTTTTAATCAAGTAGCAGAAAATAAAAATGAGGAAATGAAGGTCTTGAAGAAGTTAAAAAAGATAGAAGGAAAAACAACAGAATGAAATCTAAGAAGCCAAAACCAGTCGAATATTTTAAGAATTAGAGCTGGTTAATAGTGCCCATGCTAGAGCTATCTAGCAGAATAAGGATTTGACAAAGGGCAGCATCTTTGACAACCAAATGCTCTGAGAAAGGAGTCTCATGATGTGGAGGGCAGAAAGCCAACTCATGAGGACTAAAGAGAAAGTGGGCAAATGGAAGAGAAAGAGAAAATAAAAGCAGTAAATATGACTGCTGATACTTAGGATTTGGGCAGTTACGAATATTTTAAGAATTAGAGCTGGTTAATAGTGCCCATGCTAGAGCCATCTAGCAGAATAAGGATTTGACAAAGGGCAGCATCTTTGACAACCAAATGCTCTGAGAAAGGAGTCTCATGATGGGGAGGGCAGAAAGCCAACTCATGAGGACTAAAGAGAAAGTGGGCAAATGGAAGAGAAAGAGACAAAATATATATATATATACTGTATTCTTTCAATAAAGAAAGCTAGAGAAAAGAAAATGTTATTAAGTAGATTATATGGAAGAGGAATTACATTTACAGTACTGTATGTATATTTATTGGAAAAAATGTGCATATAAGTGGACCCATGCAATTCAAACCTGTGTTTTTCAAGGGGCAACTGTATACTACTCATTCATTAGCATAATTAGGGAAATGTAAAAAAAAACCACAGCTCCACATACGTACAGAATGACTAGAATTAAAAACACTGACAACACCAAGTGTTGGTGAGGATATGGAGTAGGTGGAACTCTCATACACTGCTGGTCGGAATGCAAAATAGTACACTCACTTTGGAAAACATTTAGCAGTTTCTTCTAAAGTTAAACGTTTACTTACTATATGACCAAGAGAAACTAAAAGATGTTTCTATACAGAGATTTGTTTACAAATGTTCATAGCAGCTTTATTCATAATAGCCAAAAACTAAAAGACTGTAAATGTCCATCAACTGGTAAATGGATTAACAAATTATGATGTATCTATACAGTATAATATTCATACTACTATACATAACAGCATGATTCTCAAAGCATTATGATAAATAAAGGAAGCCAGCCAACAAAAGACTACATATTGTATGATTACATACGTATGAAATTGTAGAAAAGGTGAAAATACAGTGATGGAAAACAGATCAGTGGTTGTTAGGAGCCAATGGACATGGGTGAGGGTTAGGAATTGACTGCAAATGGCATAAGGGAACTTTCGGGGACGATGGAAATGTGTTTCCATATCATGATTGTATGGCTAATGCATAGCTGTGTGTATTGATCAAAACTTGTCAAACAGTACACTTAGAATTGGTGAATTTTATTGCAAGCAAATTATATCTCAAAAAAAGCTGATGGAGAAGGAGGGGAGAGAGGAAGAGGAGGAATAGAAGAAGAAGAATGAGAAAGAGAAGGGGGAGGGAGAAGAATGGCATGGGCTCCATAAAGAAAAGAGTGGAAGGGAGAAGAATGGCATGGGCTCCATAAAGAAAAAGGCTCATTTAACTATTCGATGAATACTTAAAGACTTACTAGGTGTCAGTCAAGAGCCAGGCACTAATGGAGAAACACGCTTCATCCTGAGTAATTTATAGTCAAGTGAGTGAGACAGGTATGTAAACTAACCATAATATAATCTGATAATTAATATAACAGAAATATATACAAAGTACTATGGGACTGACAGATTTGGGGTGGGAGGGATGAAGAGTGGTTTAATAATCTGAAAGCTGCAATATGAAATAAGGGGGTGAGGGAAAACAGACTTTCACTACAGAGAAGTTCTGGAACATGAGATAGGAAGTAAAAGCTTATTTTTTGTCAGCTGAGGACTTACTTGGCCTCTGGAATATGTAAATCCACAATGAACTAAAGGTTTTGTCTTCTAATAACAACAACAAAAAAGATTACATTTCACTTACCAATGTCAGAAGTTAAGGGCTCACTTGCCTCACTGAGTGAAACACTGACATCAGGTACAGAATGTTGCTGAATTGGAAGGAGCCCAGAAATAATTCTTGACATTATTTCTTGTTCTACCCTGGGGAGGATAAAAGTTAAGAACTCCTAAATTTGAGTGAAATGTATACAATGTTAAAAATACTTAAAAATAATCTTTACCCTTGGGTACAAACTTTTACATGTGAAACAATCATTCTGAAAGTTAAATCTGGAAAGGAGAAAAAAAAAGTATCTTCTAACAAGATAAACCATATGAAACAGAATCTAAATCAAATTAAAATCTTTCAGATTAGTCTAATGAGAAGGTTAACATAACTCCTAAATTCAGAATAAGATTTGGGTCAGTAATTATCTGGCACATCACGTACCTAAAAGGTTTGATTCCCACTATGAGAGCACACATAGAAAACCATATAAGATCGAAGCTAGAAAAGATGTTCAGATGCCCTCTCTTCAAGGAAATAAATATATAGGTTGTGATACAGGGCAGTTTTCCTCTTAAGAAGGAAAGAAAAAGTTCGTTTCCAAGGTCATTTTCAGGAAGGGGAAGAAGAGGAAAGGAACATGGAAGGGGAATAGAAGACTTCTGGTACATTTCTTTAGAGCTACTAATAGAGTTCTTAAAAATTATTATTATATAAATAATAGATATACATTATAGAAAACTCAGAAAATATATGGTTTTTAAAAAATTGATAAGGCTCACCCAAAATCCTAGATTTAGGGATGAACAGTTAACAATTGGTATATATGTTTTTCAATCTTTTGTTATATGCACATTTATTTTTGAGTAAGTTCTTGTAAACGGGGGTAACACTGTTAGTATCCTGTTCCTTTATACACAAGTATGTTATCAATATTTTTCAACATCACTAAATATTCTTCTTAACCTAATTTTAATAACTATATTAGTATTCAGTTTAGTTTAGTTTATAACTTCCTTAAGGCATCTTACAAGTAAAAATAAGGATGATAATAGAGTTCATTTCATATTTGTATACAATATATAACGACATACTACAATTATTATTGGAATATGTGAAAACAATTACCTTTTACAACTTATTGTTGTAAATATGTAACAAACTTAGAATAGTGCCTTCTTTTTAGTGCTAGATACTATACTCATATGGCCTAGTAGCAGAATTATAATTACTTAGGATAAATTTCTCGGAGTGAATCACTGGATTAAATAAGTTGTACATTTTTAAGGCTTTTGTTACTTATTAATAGTCTCTTTGCCATAGTAGACAGCCTAAGTACAAAAATACAAGGACAGAAACAATACTTCTAACAATTAGTTAAGCCCTCAGCATTACATCAAATAGTTTCCAGTGACTACAGGAAAGGAAAAGTTTAATAAACAAAAGAAGACAAGATTTTCTACCAAAGTTTAACACTTTGCATTTATATTTGCTACTATGATTCTAATTCATACCAACACCATTGTAAACTCACCACTGAATTAAGCTATTTTCCAATGTTTCTTTTCTCTCAATTACTTTCTCCAGAATATCAGCAGTGGGCTGTAAAGTAGAAGCAACTGGTGGAAATGCAGGACCATTATATTTTGTAGAAACAACTTTAACACTTCTGTTAAACTCCAGAATTGGTTCAGAGTATTCTGGAATCTCATCCCTTTTTTCCTCTTCCTGGTATTAATAAAAACAGAACTATTATATTCATGTATCTGTTTAACATTTACTGAGTGCCAACTATAGGCAGGGAAATTAGCTTAGGTGAATTAACCAATGCTTCTAAATTAACCAACGGCATTTCTAATTAGGTGGTATTGCACTAATTATAACATATATCGTAGTCATACATATCACATTGAAGAAACCTTAATTATACAATTAGTTTGTCTTTTTAAAACCTAATATTCATTTTATACACGCATAAAACAAACTTCATTATTCCTGCACAAAACATTAACATTTCCCTCTAGAAATTTATAAACTATGTTATTATCATTAACAAACTGATGCTTCCAAATATCACTGCTCATGCAGAACCTATAATTTACATTTAATTATGCAGTTAGGTCATCTTACACAGTATTTCCATCATTATCTCATGATCAAAAGAATTATTTCTGGAAACTTTAAACTTTTTATTATGAAAAATGGTATATGTGTTTAAAAGTAAACAAAACAGTGCCCATATACTATACCTGCTGTATATAAATAACATGAATCACATTTATCTGCTCCCCAGCTTCAACAATTATCAACTCATGGTCAACCTTATATCATCAAGACTAATCCCCCCATCCACTTTCCCCTTCACACATCATTTTGAAGCAAATCACAGATATCATATCCTTTTATCTATAAATAATTCAATACCTATCTCAAAATCTCAGTCTCTTTAAATACAATAATATTATTCCATCAAAAAATGAGAGCTAGGTTAGGAACATTTGTCTTTGAACTTCAAATCCTTTGCTATTTCTGTACTTGTTTCTTTTACCTGTACATTGAATAAACAGTTATCAATTATTTTGGCTAGGCATTAGGAATACAAAGATAAACATAATTCCTGCCTTCGAAACACTCATGTGGCACTCACATTAGAAGATATACCTGTAGGCCGGCCCGTGGCTCACTCGGTAGAGTGCGGTGCTGATAACACCAAGGCCACGGGTTCGGATCCTATATAGGGATGGCCGGTTTGCTCACTGGCTGAGCATGGTGCTGACAACACCAAGCCAAGGGTTGAGATCCCCTTACCGGTCATCTTTTAAAAAAAAAAGAAGATATACCTGTAAGCAAATAACATTAATATACTGCAGACCTCTGCATATCCATTCTAAAATAGCATTTGATTTTATGATTAACAAAACTGGTCTTAGCTCTGAAAATCAAAAAAATATAAACAAATGTCTTCCTTAAAGTCTACTGAATATTCAAATAGTTTATATGTTCTGTGATCTTTTCTCCCACCCTTTCTATTTTACTTCCTCCTATTTTTTCTCTCCTTCCATTTTACTTTCTACCATTTCTATAACTCTTCCTTCCATATGGGATCTTCCCTTGAATTTTAGACTCCTCACAACTTTTTTTTTAATATACCCTAACCTTGCCACTAATCCAGAAATCAAAAGATATAAATGTAATACAATTAAGAAAGGACAGATTAGAGGGAGAGAAGCCGAAGGAAACAGGAAGAAAGAAGAAAGTAGTAGGCAGGAGAGACAAGATCTAGGTGGGAAACAGCAGTCATTAAGTTTCATGAAGGCAGATAGGTAATACTGATAAAGACAACACACATTATAGAATAACAACTTTACAATTTTTTAAAGTAAAAGTATACAGTACTCCCCCTTTATCTGTGGATGTCTGAAACTGCAGATAGTACCAAAATCAATTGCCATCAATCAGAACACAATTCTGTTTATATCTTCCACCCAGAAGTTTAAGGCCTTTTCCAACTTCACTAAGCAATATCATGCACTGTGGCTGTAGTAACTTTTGCAGTTTGAGGTGCAACAGCAAAACTAACAGATTTCTTTTTCCTTCTTAAGAATTTCAGAGATAGAAGATTCATTGTTACTGTAGATCTTAGCAACTTCAACATACAATTTTTTTCTTTCCTTATTAAGAACTTTCACCTTTTCACTTAAAGGAGGAAGCACTTTATGACTTGTGTTTGGCATATCAGTATTGCCAGCATCACTACTCTTGCACTTTGGGGTCATTATCAAATCAAATAAGGGTTACCTGAACACAAGCACTGTGATACCACGATAGTCACATGATAACTGAGAAGGCTACTGAGTAAGTAATGGGCACGTAGCATCTACAGTGTGGATCTGCTAGATGAAGGGATGATTCACTCAGGCTGGACTGAGTGGGACAGTGCACTCAGATCGGCATGCAACTTAAAACTTATGAATTGTTTATTTGTAGAATTTCCATTTAATATTTCCTGATCATGGTTGACTGCAGGTAACTGAAACTGCAAATAAGGGGGGAGGGGGGGGACTACTGTATTTAACTCAAAAGCAAAAGTTTCTCAAAGTACTGTAATGCAATATTAATAGTCAAAAGATATTCAACCACCTGGAGAAATACTGGTAGAAAAATAGTTTCTCATGCTTCCTAAGCTTTGTTACCTGTATGACATCGATTACTTCATCGAAGTTATTTCCTGGAAACTTCACCTCTTCTTCATCTACCTCCATAAATTCTGGAGTCTAAGAAAGCATTTTCAGAAGGTTTTTGTTGTGCTTAATGTTTTTAAAATTTTTACATAATTTTTCATAATTCTACCTATAGCATAAACTTGTAAATACATGGCCCCATTTTTTATTTTAATATCCTATTCAGAACTGATTTAATTAGTAAATGAAATGCAAGCTAGTCCCCAAATCAGTAGGTCACTATTTCTTTTTTTTTTTTAAAAGATGACCAGTAAGGGGATCTTAACCCTTAACGTGGTGTTGTCAGCACCACGCTCAGCCAGTGAGCGAACCTGGCCATCCCTATGTAGGATCCAAACCCATGGCCTTTTTGTTATCAGCACCAAACTCTCCCAAGTGAGCCATGGGCCGGCCCTAGAAACTAGGTAATTTGTAAGAATACAAAATTTATTGCTTACAGTTTGGAGACTGAGAAGTCCAGAGTCCAGGGAACACATCTGGTGGTTGCAACAGTAAGCCAGGGGCCTCACATGGTAGAAACAGCACAGCAGAGAGGGAGAGATTCTCACATGCTCTCTTTTCAAAGCCCTCTGGACCACGGCCCTGACCACCACTATTAATCCATTGACTATGGAATGGTCCTATAATCTAATCACCTCTTCAAGGCCCCACCTTTCTTTTTTTTTTTTTTTTTTTTTGTCTTTTATCGTGACCGGCAACGGATCGCAACCCTCAGTGTCGCGCCCGTACCAGACCGGGACCGGCAGTGGACTAGGCAGAGATGGACCAACATCAGTGCTACCATTTGAAATGCTGTCAATATCTACATTGGGTAATACCTAAAATGAAACACAACATACAACTTTCTGTTTATCATTTTAACTCAAATCTCTCTCTCTCTCTCTGTGTGTGTGTGTGTGTGTGTGTGTGTATGTATATATATAAATATATATATATATTTGAGGAGGGTACTTAAGAAAGTTGATGGAAAAACTGAATTAAAAGATAATATTAATACTTCCGTGAACTTTTGAAGACCCTGTATGTGTGTATTGATAACAAAACATGCCATTTAAGTTTTGATTGTGAAGCCAATAGATAATACATTTCCTGAATTATGAAAACATACTTTATAAAATATAAGAAATAAAGGAGAAAACAAAATCCTACTATCTTAAGATAACTTCATTTCTAGTATTCCCTTGTCTTTTCACTATCCACTTATGCATAGCTAAAATCTAAAATAGTTTTCATACCTGACTTTTCACTGTTTTTAGTCATAAACACCTTACCCTGCTTCTGTATAGACTTCAAAATTATATTTTTAGATGACTATATAATATGGCAACAAATATACATGCCTTAATTATTTAATTATGTTCCTATTGGTAAACATTTAGGATAGTTCCAATTTTTCCACTATTACATAAATATATCACACATGCACAAAAAAAACCTCCTTCTTATATACAGAATTTTCTTCCTAAATTTTGAATTATTTCATTATGCTAGATGGCCAGGTATTAGATTAGCTTTTTGGGCCACAGAGCACGAATATTTAAGATTCTTGGTAATTACTGGCAAAATGCAATCTAAACAACCTCTATTTACATCATCAAAAACATAATTAATTCAAGTTTTACACAACCCTCATCAAAGCTAAATAATATGAGTGTTTCATCAATAACAGTTTTTAAATAGAGGTATGTTATTATTTTAATTTGCATTATCTTAGTTACTAGCAAAATTTAAATTATTCTACTTGCTTGCTGATAAACTATTTTCTCTTTCGTAGAGTCTTCTTGATGTCCTTTGGTTATTTCTGGATTTTGATTGTTTTCTTATTAATTCATGGCAGTTTTTATATTTAAAAATTAATCCTTTACTAGTATCTTCCTATCATATTTTCTCACTACTGTTTTCCTTTTTATTTAGGATTTTTTTAACATATGAAAGCTTTCAATTATATAAATTAAAATCTATTTTTCTATCATATGTAAGTTTTCGTCTCTTATATCTAGACTTAGCTTCAGTTTTGATAAAAATTCTATACAATTATCTTCTAATTTTTCTATGTTTTTATATTTTGTAGTTATACTTTGGCCTATTGCCCATCTGGAACTCATTTGCTATACAGTAGTAGTCTAGAGTCTAAAATTGATCTTTTTTCCATATTCCTTCTCTTATATCTAGACTTAGCTTCAGTTTTGATAAAAATTCTATACAATTATCTTCTAATGTTTCTATGTTTTTATATTTTGTAGTTATACTTTGGCCTATTGCCCATTTGGAACTCATTTGCTATACAGTAGTAGTCTAGAGTCTAAAATTGATCTTTTTTCCATATTCCTAAACAATTATAACATAAATTATCTCATTTACAAGAATTTTATTTCCCATTGACTTATGAAGTCTCATCATATTACATTCTTTTTAAATAACCAAGGCTATTTCTGAAGCACTCTGTTATACCGGATCAGTACCAAAACCCTTTAACTTTTCTAAACCCTTTGTTCTTTCAGATATCAAAATGATCCTAAAGTTCAAGATTAAAAGAAAATAATCTCATGGTTATTTATTTTTTTATTAGAATTTCACCAAAATCATACATTAACTTGAGAAGAACCAAAAACCTAAATATTTAGCCTTTGCATATGAAAATAAGCTCTCCCTGAATTCATTTACGTCTTCTTATATATGTCCATGTAAAGTTTGAAGTACTAATTATATAAGTCACACACATTAACTCTTTTTAAGTTAATTATAATATACTGTTCAATTGTTCCTTCTGGAATAGCACTGAGTCATCTGGATAGGAGTCACTGGCCTAGAAGAGTAGCTTAAATCATACAGAAGAGGATAGAGACATCACATTAATACCACAGTTACAAAGAATACGGGAGCCATGATGAAAGCAAAGTTTTCATGAAACAATGTAATGGCTTTTAGGTACTAATGTTAAGCCAAAGATATTTTTCCTTAGAATTTTCTGCTCATGCACCCTGGCATACCTGAACAGTAAGCTGAGGAGGATCTTTTTTTTCTGACTTCATTTCTACAACTGCTACGTTAGGTTTCTTTACTCCAGTTTCTATTTTTCGAGATGATGGAGGAATAGAAGTAGTCACGGTTACAGAATGTGGCTTGTTGACGATTACTCCAGCAGGTGGCATAGAATCACTATCACTTTGGGTCTGTCCTAAGAAGTTAAGAGGCGAAAATGAGTCAACTATTTCAGAAATACAGGGGAAAATCTAATATACTGCCTGGATCTTTGTGGCTGTATTCTCATATGAGAGGAAAGCAGTATCTGACTATCACCTTTCTTTCCATCATCACCACTGTCAATATACTCACTACCATGTCATCCTTGTAGCAGCAGCACTAAACACCTCACATACACTATCTAATTTAATCCTCAAAGTAAAGGCTATGAGGTACTAATATGATCAACATTTTAAAACACGTCAAAACTTGTTAGGTTTCACTTTAAAAGTCCTACTTATTTTCTACATTTCAAAGTGCAGTACAGTGTACCTGTTAAAAACAACAGATGCTAAAGCCAGCCTGCCTAGGTTTGAATCCCAGCTCTACTCCAGCTGTGTGACCTTTGACAGATTACTTAACCTCTTTGTGCCTTAGTTTCTTTATTTATAGAATTGTATATTATCAGGTGATTTGTAGGGTGAATTAAATGAGTGAATATATATAAAGTGCTTAGAAATGTACCTGGCACACAGTAAGAACTTTAAAAGTGTCATCTATTATATTACTAGAAGGCAAGTTTGAACAGATACTAGCTACCAAGTTGACATGCCATTCATCCATAATATCGAAATTTTAAAATGCTTTTATGTTAAAAATATTCATATTTAAATTATTTAACAAAATTAAGAAAGAACAACAAAGACACTGAAAGAAAAAAGGAGCTAATTAGATTTGAAGAGCTGGTGTGAGGACAAAAATGATTTGTTCAATTTTTAACATGATGACTCTTAGAGACCTCAAATGAGTAAATAATTAACTACTGGCTTACAATACACAATCATACAACTTTTTCTTATCATAGTCTTGTTGAAAATTACATAAAAGTGCTACAAAGTACTTCCCCTAAAGCATGACAATATTAACAAGCTAATCAAACTTCCTGAAATCTTCATGAATATCCATGACATGTCTAAACTTCTTAAGATTTCATTCCATCTACAGCAAAATAATAAGAATGTTTCTTGTGAGTAAAACTATAGCAGAAGCCCATCATTTCAGAGATTGCTATTAAACAGCTTAAGATTCATTCTGAGGCCCTCCCCACAAATGTAACAATACCTACAGGAAAAGTTAGGTGAGTACCATGTCAGTACCATTTTGTGAGTTCAGCTACTATTGATAAAAATTTAAAATTCACACCACATATTTTGTTGGTTCTTACCTAAAAGAATTGCCATAGGAATTAGATGACCTTCCAGTGTACCTGAAAGAGTAGGCATTTCTCTGCTTGGGCTGAACAAATATTGCTGCTCACCATGAGGTAGTGTAGCAATAGACTGTTGCATTTTAGAATTCATCTTCATAGGTTTTGTTGCATAAAAGTCAGTTTGTGTTCTTGTTGACTTGACTTTAGTGCCTGTAATAATCATCAATGGCAAATATTTATTTATTTATTTGGGGTTGCAAATATTTTAAAATATTGTTTAAATATCTAGTATCCGGCTATCTAGAAATATAGCAACTCTTCTTCATAGAAAGATCTCATTCTATAAATAATGTGAGAGGGCCCCCAAATAGAAGTAACATAAAGACCAGAGGTTGGCAAATTTTTCTTAAATGATCACAGTAAATACTTTAGTCTTGTGGAACATGTGGTCTCAGTTGCAACTACTCAGCTTTGCTGTTATATCTTGAAAGCAGCCATGGACAATACATAAATGAATGAGTATGGCTAGGTTCAAATAAAACTTTATTTACAAAAACAGGCAACTCATCTATAGGCCATAGTTTGCCAACCCATGAATAGATGTAAAAATTGTAATAGCTACTATGACAGAATAGATACAATAACTACAAAAAAGTGTCAAAGATTCTGAAGAATATTCAGACAGTATGTTTGAACTCATTAAATTTTTTTCCATAGGTACAAAAAAGTTAATAATCATTTTTTGGAATTGAATTTTTTTCATTCTCTCATTATAGCTTTATTCATAACATGACTCTGAATAACCAGTCTTTATCCTTTAAAATTATATACAGATAATCTACTTCTATACCTACTTAAACCTTACAGAAGTTAATATTGTTATACATTTTTTTCTATTCCTATGACATAGATCTATATAGACATTATATCCTAAACTCATAAAAAATAAAAAATTTGATTATCTGTCTCTGGAGAAGAGGATAAATTTCTATGAAACCCAAAAAAAGTGAAGAAAAGAAAAAAGTAAAAATTCAAAGGAAAAAAGCCTAAAATATTTCCTAAATAATCTCCTGACATTATAATATTACTACAATTTTATTTTTAATATAGGTGGTTTTATGCATCTAGGCTTTTAAATATAGTTTCCTTTTGTTTATGATCCCAGGAAGAAAAATTTATACCATATCTATATTTTTTCATCCTGTTCTCTGATAGTCATTCAGTTTATTGAATAAATACTTTTCTTGAGTGTTTATTTAAAATATATTTGTTCAGCCTTTAATATGTGTTAGGCATATTTTCAGACAGAGGAAGTACAGAGGTAAATAAAGCAACTGTACTCATGGGGCTTACAGTTTAGTAAGGAAAACAATCAATAACAAGTAAAAATAGAACATTAGATAGTGAAAAATGCTATAAAGAGTATGGCAGTGCAAGGAGATAGAGAGGGATGGGAGATAATTCTTTGGATAGGGTGGTCAGGTTAGACCTCTCCAAGGAGCTAACACCTAAGAGCAGAGATTGAAAGAACTGAGGGCATGATCCATGCAAGTGTTTGAAGGAGGAGCCTCCAGATGGAGGAAATAGCAGGTAGCAAGTCATATGAGCATATGTCCACAGGTCTTCAATCACTTATACCATTAAAAGGGCTACTGAATAAAGTTATTTCTAGATCTGGAAGTATTTTGAAACCTCAAATTCTTTTTTTGCAAAAATTTTCAAAACCCTAAGTATGAATTAATAGCAAAGCTGCAATAAATAAGAGGAAACATTAAGTATCATTCATAAGCTATACGCTTTACTAAAATAACATCAGTAGGATTTCTAGATAACCTAATACTCTATATGATCACTTAACTTACAGAAAGGATAGAGGACTAAAACAACTGCTACTGCTCCAACTTTTAGAAAAGATAAGAAAGGAAAATGGGTTGGTATACACCAGTTATCACATATTGTCAAAGTATCTTATTGACTACTAAAGTACAAGCCGAGAAACTTCAAAAAGCAACCAAAGTCAACAGACTCCACATTTAACAAAGAGGTATATTTAAATATATCACTGAAATGGTAGATCTGAGTCAAAACACGTAGTGATAAATGAAGATGTTTTTAGTTATATACAAAAGCAACAAAAAATTTTTCACCTTTGCTACCTAAGGCTTGTTGAAAACAAACTGCAAAAGTGCCCCTAACCACTTTTAACAATAATAAACAACATACGGCTGATCTTTCTCTTCATAAGAACATGATGGGCCCATGTCTTTAAGGAAATGTCTACTTTCCTTAGATTATAATTTAGATTGTTCAAGATTCATCATCTCCTAAATAAAAATTTTATGATGCTTTATTTGAAGATAAATCTAAGCCTACATTTCTTCCACTTATTCCTATCTTGTGGCTTGATCTTTAAGTTCTGGTCTATTTCTCCCTACCTCTTCAAGAAGGAATTATTTTCCATTCCTAAGCATTGTATAGTTTGAACTGTATTTATCAATAATAAATAAAAAACAAACAAAAGGAAACTTTACATATTAAGCTGATAACACAAAAAAAATCAGGCTAAACACAAAAAATTGGGTTCCTTACCTTTAACTCGTTCTATTACTTTTGGTCTCTGTGGTTTGGACTTAGGAGATGGAGAATTAAATCTGAGATATGGTTCTTTTTTAAGAGTGCTGCGATGCCCCTGATAAACTGGTTTTCCATAAATCTGTAACATATAATCCTCGTCTTGTATCACTGTGGTTGTTTTAGAAAGCCCCTATGTATACAGAGTTATTCAACTCAATGTGAGAACAGTCATCACACATTTCATTTTTCTAAAGACTCCTTTTGCTAGTGTAAATACTATAATAAGAATTATCAGGTCAGAAAAACCCTCTATTTTAAACAGCCTTTAAATTCTAGATAGTGTTTTCAAGCAAGAATTTTAAATGTATGAAATTTAAATATAAAAATTATTCGTCTAAGACATATGAAGTTTCCTATATTATTAAGTGTATTTTCAGTACCAAAAAGTAGTGTTTAAATATATTTATGTAAAAGGTGTAATTTATTATACTCAAGTACAATAAAAATATAGTAAACCTAGTCTATAAATGAATTTGTGCATTCTTGATCCCACCTTCAACCATAATCTAAATGCCACCAAAAGGTAGCATTTATTGAGCATCTAGTAAATGCCAAGCACTGTAGATCTTTTCATAATCTGTTCAACAATCCATATTTGGTACTAAGAAAGTCACAGCCTAATTAGAGCAGTCAAAAAATTCCAAAGTAGTTAGCACTGTGCCTCACATTCACTAGGCATGAAACCATACATTTGTTAAACTGAAAAATAAGCAAAAAATATGTATATACATACGAGGGTACTTCAAAAAGATCATGTAAAGGTTCATATTATCTTTCAATTCTTTTTCCATGAACTTTTTGAAGTATCTTCATATATACACATATTCAAAGATGAAATACAATTTTGGGTACTGTGAACTAAAGAATCTAGTTTTGGGCTAGATGATCTCTAGATAAACCTGCTATATTACTATGATTCTAAGTGTAAGATCCCAGAAGTAAGAAATATGTATAGTTGACACTGAAACAACACAAGTTTGAACTGTGAGGGTCCACCTATATGTGGATTTTTTCTATAAATATATTAGAAAAATTTTTTGAAATTTGTGACAATATGAAAAAGTTTGCAGATGAATCATGCAGTCTAGAAATATCAAAAACATTGAGAAAAAGTCAGGTATGTCATGAATATATAAAACATACATAGATACTAGTCTATTTTATCATTTATTAGCATGAAACATACAAATCTATATAAAAAATTAAAATTTATCAAAACTTAGCACACAAACACTTATAGACCTCACGTTGCACCATTTACAGTTGAGAGAAATGTAAACAAACATTAAAATGCAGTATTAAATTATAACTGAATAAAATTAACTATAGTACATACTGCACTACTGTAATAATTTGGTAGTCACCTCCTGTTGCTATTGCAATAAGCTCAAGTGTTGGGAATAACTTGAATAACTTCTTAAAATGACATGTGACGCTGATCATCTCTGTGTGAGCAGTCTGTCTCTCTAGTAAATTGCATATAGCAGTAAAAAGCGATCTGTTGTGGTTTCACTTCCTTATGATTTTCTTATTAACATTTTCTTCTCTCTAGCTTACTTTAAGAACACAGTATGCAATACGTGTAACATACAAAATATGTGCTAATCGACTATTTATTTTATCAGTAAGGCTTAGTAGTTAAGCTTTTAGGGAGTCAAGAGTTATACAGGGATTTTCAACTGTGCAGGGGGTTACTGCCCCTACCTCCTGCATTATTCAAGGGTCAGCTGTATTTTGTGCAGTGGTTTCCACATTATGGATCTAAAATCCTAATTATGAATAGTGTACAAATAGTTTATGCTTGTATATGCTTTCATATTTTTAATATATCTTCACATTCACTTCATCATTTATATCTTAAAGGAAATGATCAATTATAATGCAACATTTATGTCACAAAACCAGATTAAAATCTTACTTTCTTTCTCTCTTTCTGTAAATTTGAAGCAGGCATGCTCTTCATAGGTGGATTTCTACAATGTTCTTCTATTTGTTTTTGAGAGTTTTTTCTTGAAATTACAGATTTGTTTATAGTTTTTTCTTGTGTGTTCATTTTAATATCTTTACTTGTACATTGAGCTTTTCTGGTCCTTTGATTCTTCTGATCAAATCTTTTTTGTTCATAATCATTTCTTGCCAGTTCATCCTTAACACAACCAAAATGAAAATTACTTAAAATCTATCCAAATAGTAGCACTTTCACATCAGAAAGTATTAAAATTTATTTTTTGCTGTTATATAAACAAAGATTAGCAGTTTTAAATGCTTTAAAAATAAAGGATATTGGTTTACATATAAATAAAAATTCTACAGAAGAATAAACAAAAAACCAAAAAGACAGTATCTTATGGAGTAGGAGGGGTAGGAGGGCAATTTTTCATTATAAACTTTATTACTCTTTTTGATGTTTGAACCATATGAATTTAGGAACTGTTTAAAAAACTAAAAAATAAGTTTCAAAAAAGCAAAGAATTTTGCAATAAAACTCTGAGATAAATATTTATAAATTAAAATTACTTGAAGGTTTAAAGAAACATATTTTACATGGAATTCATCGTAATAGAGTAACATATATTGCTAGTTGGCTGCAAGGCCAAACTAGATTCCAAATCTTCTGACTCTTAGTTCAGTGCTTTTCTCATACATCCTGTAGTAGCTAAAATAAATTCTTCATAACTAGTTATATATATTAGTTATATATATTTTTATTTTTATTAACTTCTCAATACACATTGTAGTTGATTTTCGTGTCCCTTTAGTTCCTCTTTCCCCCCTCCCTCTCTGCCTTCCCCTCTCATCTACATCATATCTGTTCACTTGTCTTAACAAGTTCAAGTAATTGTTGTGATTGTTGTGTCTTCCCCCCCACCACCACCATTTATTTGTTTATAAATTTATTTATTTATTTTTACCTCCTACTGTTGTAGGAATAGACTCGGCAAGGAAGTGCCAAACAGAGGGTTGGAGAGTCAGGAGTTTTTTACACTGGCAGGTCCAGACAAGCTACTGCCTGAAAAATCTGGACCCTCAGCTCAGTTGTCACAAGGTTTTTATAAGCAGACTCTTCCAGGGCTTTTTTACATTTTTTTTTTTTCCTCTTTTTTCAGCATTCACTAGGCTAGCATATGTGGGCTGTGCAGATAAGCAAGCTTACAGAAGGCAAAAATAGAAGCAGTGATTAATAGCCAGACTAGTGGAGCAAGCAAATACAGTTTCCAGGACAAGATATTACTTCTAGAACAAAGCAGGCTTATGAAAAAGTTATTTCAGAATAGTGAAGCAAGCAAATATAGTTCCAAGGACAAAACAGGCTTATGACAAAGTTACTTTTGCATTTTTTCCCAACACCACAAATAAGTGAGAATGTGGTATTTCTCTTTCTGTGCCTGACTTGTTTCACTTAATAAAATTTTTCTAAGTCCATCCATGTTGCTGCGAATGGTAGTATTTCATTCTTTTTTATAGCAGAGTAGCATTCCATTGCGGAGAGATATCACAGTTTCCTTATCCACTCATCTGATGATGGACATTTGGGCTGGTTCCAACTCTTGGGGCTATTGTAAACAGTGCTACAATAAACAAGGGAGTACAGGTATCACTTCAGCATGATGATTTCCATTCTTCTGGGTATATTCCCAGCCGTGGAATAGCTGGGTCATATTGTAGATCTGTAATTGTTTGAGGAACTTCCACACCATTTTCCGTAAAGGCTGTACCATTTTGCAGTCCCACCAACAATGTATGAGAGTTCCTTTTTTTCCTACAACCTCGCTAGCATTTATCATTCTGTCTTTTGGATATTAGCCATCTTAACTAGAGTGAGATGGTATCTCAAAGTGACTTTGATTTGCATTTCCCAGATGCTGAGTGATGTTGAGCATTTTTTCATATGTCTGTTGGCCATTCATATATCTTCCTTTGAGAAATGCCTATTCAGCTCCTTTGCCCATTTTTTAATTGGGTTATTTGTTTTTTGCTGTAAAGTTGTTTGAGTTCCTTGTATATTCTGGATATTAATCCTTTGTCAGATGTTACTTTGCAAATATTTTCTCCCACTCTGTTGGTTGTCTTTTCACTCTGTTGATTGTTCTTTTGCTGTGCAGAAGCTTTTTCATTTGATATAATCCCATTTGTTTATTTTTCCTTTGGTTGACTGTGCTTTGGGGGTCATATTTATGAAGTCTGTACTCACTCCTACTTCCTGAAACTGAAGAGGCATATCTCTTAAAAAACAAAGTTTAAAAATATATTTCTGTGGGCCGGCCCGGTGGCGCACTGGATAGTGCGCCGCTTGGGAGGCGCGGCGGCGCTCCCGCCCGAGGGTTCGGATCCCACATACAGACCGGTTCCCGCTCACTGGCTGAGCGAGGCGCGGGAGCAGCACCGAGGCTTTCGAACCCGTTGCCGGGCCCCGGGCCCGGACGGGG